GTCTAGTCCTTCGGATGATACGAAAAACCGAGGTCCCTAGTATACATTGGAATGCACGTAAAAGATCCCTTGGCAGTTGGAATTCGATATAAGAGTAGGCGATAGTGCTGCTGCCCGAGCAAAATTTCCCTCATATCACACTGTTTGGCGTATGCCCGTCCTTCATTAGCCCAGCATAGGAGCAGAACAGTAGGACGTTAAACCCCATTTCATTTCATTTCATTTCGAGCACAAATAATAAGACAAGTAATTGCAAGTATGTTATTTGGACCAGGAACAAAGCACAACATCATCACCACCATCTTGGAATTGTGACGTCATATATTAGAAATCAAGGTCCATAAATCCATGTGCATGCTAAGTTTTTCAAAGATGGTCGCCCAACAGAGGAAGAAGAAAAAAATAAGAAGCCGAGTAGCATTTGGGGACCCAGTTCTTCATCCAAAAATCCAGTAGTACAATTATAGAAGTCATGTAGACTGATGTAAAGACAATACAAGTCATGTACAATAAATACACTAGCACAAAACATACATTAATAATTCAGAACCTAACATAAATTACCCTTGGGTCATGTTCACAGATATGTTATGTTGGTCTCTGCATTCTTAACATCTGAGTCACTAATTGTATGTTCAAATGCAAAAATACAACAACAAGATTCAGTCATCCAGAAGAAAAATACCAAATCTATTTCCATGGAAACACAAAAATTACCAAAAGGCAACTACTATAATACATGTAGGTTGATGTATGTACCAAGTTAAGATATCTTGAACGGTTTATCAGAGTCTAGACTCCGATCATACCCAACTACTAACTTCATTCAATATCAAAGCTGAATAATTATTTATTTTACGGACCACCGTGAACTGAAATCAGCAATGCAACCATATATTGAAAGGAAAATTCAGAAAAGAGTGTCAGTCCAAAATATAACAAACAGCACAGTATGTACTCAATAGAAACACATCCTCCCCACCCCCTTCACTTCGCTCAAAACTGGATTATTTTCTTTTTTATGCACCACTGTGAACTGAAAACAACAATACAACCAAATATCAAAAAAAAAAAAACTCAGAAATTAATAATAGTTACTAGTATTAGTCACCAAAATAGAATAATCACAATAGCCCCCCCCCCACACACCAGCCTTCACTTTGCTCAGAACTAGATAATTATTTATTTTATGCACTACTGAACAGAAATCAACAATACAGATATCAAATACAAAACTCTGAAATTAGTATTAGTCACAAAAATAGAATAATCACTATAAAGTATGTACACAATAGTACTGAAGCGTGATATAATGAACTTATGACTGATTGACCTTACATTATAAAGCCATTAAGACTGGCTTAGTGGTAGATTGTTTTCAATCTAGTCATAAGCCAACAACTTCTACTAGTAGTATTGTAGTCAGTTTATGTGCTATCTGTTACAGGCAAGCATACAACAAGCTCTCAGCTTACCTATAATACTGTTTATTCCTGAAAAAATCAATAACTAGGTCACAAACTGGCAGTGGCTGACCTAAATATACTGTTAGTGACAAAACCGATCTAGTGCTTGTTATCCAAGAACCGACTTGATAGCTAGCACTAAGCTTCACACGCAATACGACATCGGCTTATTCATTGACTTGCAAACCTTGATATTCCTGCATATATATATATCTTGATAAATGAAATAGGGTTTAACATCCAACTTTTCCTTCACACCAAGCGGGCTAATAGTATTAATACTAATCTGTAGATTTTAATTACAGAATGTAAATTACAGTGGACCTCATTTTATCGTCCCATCCGAACGACTAGACAGCTGTCCTTGTCGGGCCCTCTTGACCACTGACAAGGGGAAACCATGGTGGAAAATCCTGATGAACTTTCTCGGCCAACATAGGGATCGAACACGCGACCTCCAGGCTAGTGAGCCAGCGTCTTACCCACTTAGCCACCGTGGCTCCCGGAGGTATGAAGGATTCTATTTTTGTGAACTTGACAATAAGTTTAATGTCCTAATTTTCTGCTCCGACTGGGTTAATGAAATGGACACACGCAGTGTGTTTTTAGAAATATTTTACGCCAACAACAGCGCTATGGACTAGGCCTACTCTTATTTCAAATACAAACTGTCAAGGGTTCTTTTACATGCACGCTAACGTGTACAGGGGACCTCTGTTTATTTTGGACCATCCACAAGACCATACACTATTCCTAACCAATAAACAAGTGGAACCCACGCTTGAAAAATTCTGGGGAATCTTCTCTACCAACAATGAGATTAAACCATGGACATCCTGGTTAGCTACTGCCTTTATCACGGAGTCACTGAAGTTACCTTTCAGGTGAGAAATAAATCAGAGCCATCAGAAGATAAACTTTTTCTAATTATCTCTCACCTTGACATATTTCAATGTATTATGTCTTCCAGACACATGTATACATAACCATTATAAATCAACAAATTATGCACTTCTATCTCTGGGTGCAATCAGTTGGACTTTATTGACATAATCGTCAATTTTAATAGCAATACCTAGAGACCTTGAGTATATTATTCATTATCTATGTGGTTTCTAGTTATATAAAGTCAACCATCCTATATCATTGATAAAGTTACACTCATAAAATTTTAACACAGATCCTATTTCGTTTCGTTTTTTATAGTTCAAAAAAATGAAATGAAATGGAGTTTAACGTCCTACTGTTATGCTCCTAACCTGGGCTAATGAAGACGGGCATACGCCATACAGTGTGCTATGAGGGAAATTTTGCCCGGACAGCAGCACTACGGCCTACTCTTATATCGAATTCCAACTGCCAAGGGATCTTTTACGTTTATAGTTCAAAATTTCGTTTTACTTGTCTTTACTACACTAGGACCTGGAAGAGTTGTTATATAAATTTTGTTTTACTTGTCTTTACTACACTAGGATCTGGAAGAATCGTAATATAACCAGCATTCTGGATGGTGTGAGGAATTAGCCAATGAAACGGTCTGATATGGCGAGTTTTTTGGCGTGAGGTGTACGGAACTGTAACCCACTAGAAACATCAACGCTGATTGGTTAATCAAATGTCTGACATCATAGGATCAAAAGCCGCTCATATGACCACTGATGCGAACTCCCACTAAGACCCTAAAGACCTAAAAATTAAATAACTTTTGCTTAAGAAGATTTTATACATATAAGTTTCAACATGATCAACATCTAAAAATTAAACTGGTTTTGCCCAATAAGATTTTGATAGGAGTTACACAATTTGACAAATAATGATCAACATCTATAAATTAAACTGATTTGGCCTAAGAAGACTTTGATAGGGTGTTACACAATTTGACCATATTATTATCTACATGTATATATCTGTATGAAGTTATGTAACCTGTCAGACTGTCAGTTATCAGAATGTCATACATATAGTGTCAGATATTTCTTGACCCTTGACCCAGTAATACCCCACCCATAAGACACAAGGCTCTTTCAATCACAATTATGGGGTGTAGCAGCATGTATATTATTCCACAATGTAACTTTTTTCCCTTAATATGCAGTCCTTGTTTTTTAAGGCGAGCGATCACTCTTGAGCATCTGTCGCGCACCTGAATGTCAACCGAGGGTGAGTTTTCTCCCTCCCCTTAAAATTGAAAATCGCTCTCCTTTACAAAGTCATGGGGGGTTTATTATCATTTATGAAACTAGGAATGACCCCCTGACATGCAGTTATTGATCTTCAGAACCATTTCCCATACACACAACTATCGGTAATCACTCTTTTTGATATCAGATCACTGTCCTTAATTTCTTAATCACTCTTATCAAAACTGGGATAGCTTTTTTACGGGAGCGATTTTTTCAATCAAGCATCCCGATAGAACTGGGACAGGACAGAATTGTGTTACGCGATTGAAATTATGTCAATCTGCCCAAAAATCGAGCATCCCGATAGAATTGTGACAGGACAGAATTGTATCACGCGATTGAAATTATGTCATTGTCAATAAGAAAGTTCCATATTAACGATCGAGCATCACAATAATGTAATGGTCTAGACTTTAACATTTGCAATAAGACATGCAGGAAATCTGACAGTGTATAATATACTGTTATACTGACACTGAATGTTGTTTATGGCGCACACTAAAATAGACCGTGGCCAGTAGGTGTAAAATATAACCCTCTAGCTTTCTCCTCTCCAAGTCATTAAAAGACTTGATAATCTTATCACTAACCAAGTCATTAAAAGACATGATAATCCTATCACTAACCAAGGAACATTATGGGGGTGCTCGATTGTCAGTTCGGAACGTCACGAATTGACAGAATCGCAATCAAGTGATAGGGAATTCAGCCCTGTCACAGTTCTGCTAGTCCTGACAGTTGAGGTGGTGTGAGTAGAATCGGGACGTATTTTAAGTAACAAATATGTTTCAGCAATCATAATTGGTTGAGATATCATTTACATTTATGCAGTCAGCACATGCGTTGTACTCCGAAATTCTCCTTGTCACTTGATTGACACTTTTTTTAGAATTGTGAGAATTGAATTACGGAATGTTCAATTGAGTATCCCCTATGTGTCCCGAGTTTCTGATCCCATTAATCCAGCCATTAGGAGGTATAGGGATTTCCTCTAGTTACAGAAGTAATATTCCTGAAGTGGATGAACTGTTGGTTAGATCTATTTTATAAGGCCAACTTCAAGTTTGGTCGAAGGTCACGAGATGTAAACAGGGTTAGCGCTAATCCCAACCCTAATCCTAGCAGTTACGTTAACCCTAGGATACAATCTCGCCAACAATTGCATGCCCTAACCTTATTTACATCTCCGTGACCTTGGCGACATCTGTAATTGGCCTTAGGAAATAGTACTAGCCCATTATGATTTTTGACTGTGATTTTAACATGCAAGCGATAATGGTAGGCAAATCATGTTCTATGTAAAATAAAAGAGATTATATTGAAACTTATATAATTTAAAAGTTCACATTACCTCTAGGGTCAACATTCTTCATCCATGATCCTAAAAAAAAAGAATCAAAAAAAAATATATAATTCGAGGCCTATGAATTTCTCAAGGCCTACATGTATATCAAGTTAATTTCTGAATCTTCTTTTCCTTGTTTGATTATTACAGTGCATATAGAAATGATTTTTACATAAAAGCACATATTTTTTTAAAGCTAAATGAATGTAATAAGCATTTGCTCAAGCCATGAATGAAAATATGAAATTAAAAAAGTGATTCTATGGCTAAAAACTGCCAGTATAATGTAAGCTACATGTAATGATGAAGGAAGCAGAAGATAAAAATAAAAGTAGAGGCTAGCCATGTATCGAGTGGGGCAGGGTTGAACCATAGATTTTAGCGGGAGGGGACTTCACTTGGTGGGTCTTCAGTGGGTCTTGGTGTGAGTGAATTATAACAAATATTTGAAATAATACTGAACATTTAGTGTAGTTTAGTATACAACACTGGTTAATAAAAACTATCTTAACAATAGACAAGAACAACAAGTACCATATAACATAAACACTAAGAACAATGAACAATAAAATAAATGAATAACGAATGAAAAGATTTATGGATACACTTGTAACTTTCGACAATAAATTTTGTAAATCAAAGAACGTTAAAGCGGAAATTGCAAATTTTCTAAGAAAGTCAAAACGTAATTATTTCTATGTCTTTTGCTCAATAGGTCGTCAACTCACAATTATACGATCATAGGGGTCATTCTCACACTTAAGATTCATTTACACAGGAAATAATAACACAATTACGTCCCTTGTTTTCTATTCTCCACCATGGAGTAGCGATATTCAAACGTTTGAAAATGAAGAGGAAAATGATATTTTTGCCAATTTCTCAGCTGGCAATAGTGAATTATAGGATTAATAGGATTATTCTTTAACAAGGTACATGTAGGACTGTTTATGGATATCATCTATTTTCAGGCTTTATTTTAATAAATTTTAAAAATATAACTTAAAAATTTGCAATTTCCGCTTTAAGCTATAGCTCTACGTGATATACAATGTATGTAGATCAGTAGACATCATGTTCAAACAAAATTTGTTTCTTATTCAAAATATGTCGCTACTCACTAATCACAGTATTTCCATGACAATCTTGCATATCCATAATATTATCTTTTAGGTTTTTAAATATCCACAGAGACACAAAAATAAAAACATGTTGTAACATACTAAACTGTTTATATTATTTGACTTTCACTTAAAAAAACAATTGAAAAGGAATTTATTAGTAGTAAATTAACAAATTAGTTTTCAATTGTATATTTATAAGAAATTTTTTTTCTTGAATATAAAATGAATTGCTTATGTCCGCAGTTTACAAAGCTGTCTCACTCACTGGAAGGCGTTCTTTAGATAGTGAATTAAATTTTGACGAATTAAGATACGATAATAAAAAAAAGTCTTGATTATCTCCTTTTTAATTAGATTATTAACTGGCAATCGTGTGTAAATCTGATAAAAATCAAAACCATCCAAAGGTCTAGAGATTTGATTATGTGCAAATTTATCTCTTACATAATGCATCTTTAAATACCGCAAGCCTGGAAATAAGGCACCTGTCACAGACAATGTCAGACATAGATTCAGGATTTGTCAGGCACTAAACCGCTGGTGCCTGTCATTTTGTCCGGCACTAATTTGTCTTTTTAATTGATATTAATAAATGTCCAGCACTAAGTTGAAAATGTCAGGTACTATTTTACAAACACACAAGACTAGTGTATACATGTATATTTAACTGTATTATATTGTTGATTTTACAATTATCAACAGGCCTGGAAATAACGGTTTTAGATGTACCCGACAAAATGTCAGGCACTATTGAAATAGTACCTGACATTTTCAACTTAGTGCTGGACATTTATTAATAACATCAATAAAAAAGACAAATTAGTGCCTGACAAAATGACAGGCACCACAGTTTTGTGCCTGACAAAGTCTGAATCTGTGTCTGACATTATCAGTGACAGGTGCCTTATTTCCAGGCTTGGTCAAGTTGATCCACTCTGAACCGAGATTTTAGCGATTGAGTATTGGGGCTAGCCTCGATCATCATTACTAAAGTCGGTAGGATAAAAAACATAGTCTTGATTATCCATTTTTTATTTATTTAATTATGAATGAAAGTCGAACAGCAAATCGGAACCTCAACCTAATCCAATAAACATAGCAGGCTAGCGACGCCATCAAGAGTTGATTGATGGTCTGCATAAGTCAATTAATGTCTAATTAATAATTTAGATAACATTTCAGACCTAAAAAAAAGACCTGTAATAGACAGATTTAGCTCTTGCATAATGTATGTTTAAGTGCACTGTAAGAATAAATTAAGGGCTAAAAACTAAGATATGCAAATAGCAGCAACATTAGAAGGCGATCTTGATCTTTGTCCATTTACGTTTAAGCGCATTAAGAAAGGATGGTACATCAGGTTGCATTACAGCTCATAACGGATGAAGGACTGCATAATACATATAGCATTAAAGCATAGCTGGATATTTTTGTAATAAAATGGGTGTAAACTTATATGCATAAGATTTCAATTCATCAAATGTTGGGTTCTGTTTTTATCCCTACATGTAGTTTATTGTATTGTACACCCTTTTCTACTTTATTTTTAATATTTAGGTATGTAATAACATTATTCAATTCTACACATTAAATTAAATACATATATTATAAAATATTCTTAATTTCCATTCAAATACTGGAAGAGCTTGTTACTTATGGTAATCGGTTACCAGCAAGCTTATAAATGTTGTTTTGTTGGGGTTTTTTACCAGATCAGTCATAAATGATAATTAAAAGAATCAGAATGAAATAACTTGTGAATGGAGTGATGAGTCCCTAGAGATTTTCTGTATAAAACGAAACAGGAAATAAATGTCTGGAAATCAAATTTAAAATTGCAAAGAAAAACATGCAAAAATTACTTTCAAATATCATGCAAGGAAATATGAATGCTAATGCAAATGCAAATGCATACGAAAAATCTATTCACCAATAGTTTGTGTCATCCATTCAGGCAAAGCTATAAAGCAAGAATGTTTTCAAGGATAAAAGATTATATCATATATCAGACATTATAAATAATGAATGATTTATATGATACTAGTGGTGCACAATTGATTCTTTCCAAAGAATTTAGCAATAAATGTAATATACATAGTCTTATTGTCTCAACTTCTTGATTTAGCAATAGATATCTAATGCATATATTGTTTTATCGACTCAATTTCTTGTAAACCTAACAAATCTTTTTTGAATTTGTAATGAATTTTAGGCCAGGAAATGGTTCCCAAGCCTGAATCATGTTTCTGTTGTTATTCTTAGGGATGACGCTCTTCGAAAATAAAAGCCCAAGATTTCGCCAATTAATGTACTACGATGAACATGTAATTTGGCATGGTTGTTCCTTGGACAATTGCACATTGATTGACGGACTTCAATTCCAAGATGGCTGTGATGATGTCATAGTCAGGTTCTGATTCATAGCACAGTGGTACTACTGTTACTGTACAGGCCCAGCTATAAATAGTCACAGATGTACATGTACATGTATGGCATAACTACATGTAACAAACAAACAAAAATTAAAATGAAAAAATTCACAATTTTGTAATCAAATTTTAAAAAGAAGATTGAATAAAACTGTAAAAAAAAATTGTTTTTTGTTTTTTTTAAAATATACAAAAAGACAAGAGTTCTATGAAATGAAATGGGGTCTAACAGCCTACTAAGAGTTCTATAGAAAACAATTACTGTATTTTGAGCTATGTTACTAAAAATAGCAAGAGGCATGCTGTAAATATTCTATTATCTATACATGTATCTACTGTCTACAACAAATATAATAATGAATCCGTATGATCTAAACCACAGCAATAATAAAGATAGTTTGCCTTGCAATCAAACAAATAACCTTAGTACATGTAGAAGCAAAATCGCTAAAGCAGTTTGTCATTTTTTGTTTTACTTTTGTAATGACCTGCTAATGGGAGAATGGAATTTACAAGACATTATAAACAGATCACAGGTGAGAGAGAAATGGGGTTTAACATCTGCTTGAAACAAACTAGAGGTCATTTCGAGACTAACATGGTTCAATTTTATTTAAATATTTTGCTTGCACGTGTGATTCTTTACCAGTGGGAGGAAACCGGAAAACCCGGAGAAAACCCACGAGGTTGGACAGGCAACCCTACTCCTGGTCATGTTGGATCACAGGTACATGTACTGCCACAAACCATCAAGTAATTATATCAGAAATAATTAAAATTTGATAGGCTTCTTGTTCTTCCTAGTGATAAATTAAATACAGGTAAGAAACATCTACCAGTAATCGATAAAAATTATCAGTAATGGTTGAAACACATTAGGCTTCTTCCTCTCATAAAAATGCACGTGTAAACACTCTAAGTAATCATGGGCCATAAATAAAACCTATATTACTTATTAGATATTGTTGAAAATCAATAAGACTCTTTGTTTCATATACTCTGTACTTGCAGCATAAGTCAATAATGATTGTGGATGACAAATTAAATTAAGGACTGACGACAATAAGTTTATTTACAACCATATTTCGATGAGTGTGTCACGTATATAAATATTTAATAACGTAACAGATGAGATAAGTAGGAAAATCCATATTTATTTTTTTAAGGTAATCATCCTGTTTTATTAAAAATACAACGAATATTATGTCTGACATAATAAACAATATATCCAACCTCTGGCATAATCAAAGTAGCCTATCATTCTAGACTTCTGTTAAGTATTGAAGAACATTTTGTAAGTATTTTTATTTTTTCACTATTTTTTCGATTTTTGAAACCGATTAGATATGTAAAATTAGACTTTAACAGAATTAATAATAATTGCAACATGCATACATGTATACCGGTATATGTATTTAATGTTTCAATCAAACTTTAATTATTTTCAAATAAATTAAGAAAACAACAGAAAGTCAATACCACATCCAAGAGAAAGATTCAAAAGCTAAATTAAAAATAGAGTTATAAATAGAACAAGTTAACAAGGACACACTATGCATGTTTTCGAAGAGTGGACATATGATATAGTAGTTGTAAATCAGTCAGTGAACTCCAGACTTGATTCAGTATCAGTAATCAGGGTATATAACAAGTCCTCCGTATCAGTCATAAAATTTATATAGAAAATAAATTAAAATTACCAGTGCTAAGTAATAGTTAAATAACATTAAAACAATCCATGTTTAGATCTAATCAAAGAATGAAGACCTGTTTACGCTGTTTATGCGAAAACATCAACAATAGAAAGACATTATATCACTCTAAGCTACTAATAAATATTGTATAAGTTCAAGCTCAAAGTAATGGTAAAATATATTGATCTAAGGAATGAGTGAAAAGAAAAGCGTCTTAAAAATGTGTGACTCAGTAGTCTACACGTACTGTATGCTATGGTTACCTACACTGTGGAAATCACATGCATATTTCTAAAGCAAGGCTTTCATAAATAGGCCTATTATTACACAATTTATTGATTTCCATTTATAGTTTGGAAGACTGTACATAGTCTAAGGGCATGATGTAAACTATGAAATAATTCATTATTATTATTAATCGTATTATTATTTATTACAAAATGTATATAGCACCACTTTTACAGATGTGTTCAAGGGCACTAAATTTCATTGAAATCTAAGCAGATTTGTGTTTTTAGGCTAAGGAAACAGGGTAAAATTTCTGGCACCTACATTAGTGTCGTGAAAATATCTTGTGTAGATCTTTATATATATAAACAAAGTAAGCCGGAATCTAACAAATTTTGCATTGTATAATATTCTATCATTCACTAATACTTAATGGTTTCCAATTGGAGGAATACTCTAAACAACCTCAATCAATTATCTACTTTTAAGGATCTTAATTTAGCCTAATTAAATAAACCATTCAATTAAGCAATGTGTTTGGCAAACAAATTACCTTCTTTCTTGGTTTCTTCCTGTGTCACTGATACTGATTTCGGTCCTGTTTTCGTAAAATCTGATGGTTCTGGGGTAGAAGGTGGGGTGGGATCGCGAGTTGTGGCTGGGGCAGGGGATGAGGAGTCTACCCCAAAACTGGGTGGGTTAAAATTCATCAGTGGTTCCACGTTCGGAGGGGAGGGTTGAGATTGACGGGTGTAAGTGGGTTCATCACCAAAAGAAATTAGGGGATCAGGGGAGTTATCAACTGGCGTAGCCTCCGACGCACCGGTAGCATAAAGATCCTCTTCTGCTAAATTTTCATTTCCGAAAGATGTGGATGTTATTTCTTCATCTTGATCAAATCCTAAATTTTCTGCTTCTGGACCAGCATCAGGTTTATCCAGTTGCTCAAAATCACTGAAATTATTACTTTCGGGTTGGCTACTCAAAAAGTCGTCTGTTCTAGGATCTGCCATGTTTATAAAAGTTGTTATTATTGTCTTCTTAGATTTAATATATCACACACGTCAATCGACAGCACAGTTCAAACAAATGAGCTCAGGTACTTCGAACTTGTTTTTCTACAGTGTCTTGCGAAAAGGCGGAAATTACACAAACATGGCGGCGAGATCTAACAGAGACGCATGCGCGCAATTAAGCACTTAATCGAACGAATGCATCCATCACCCAGCTGAACGTGAATCATACATGATTGATACTGCAATACACATTCTTATACAATGTTATTGAGTATCTCGATATTATGAATGGTTATGGTGAATTATGAATCTATAAACCATAACACTGTTTGAATATCGTGTTTGTTTTGAGAATTATACAAATTCATAATCCCACTATGCATACTGTTACATAACTTACTTAGATAATTAATTGATCAAAATAGACCGATTCGAATATTCCAACCAAGAAAGAGCATTATTCGGCTGGACTTTATTTCTGAAACGATCCTTACTGATTTTTATAATCACCTACATTGATGACCAACTGATATTAAAATTATTGTAAGAAACAAAAGAAAAGAAGCGTTTGGAAATAACAATTTATTAAAAATATAAAATTTGTCATTTTCAGTCTTGATTGCATTTAACGGGAAAATGGATAGAATCGATTTTCGACTTAAATAATCACATTTTTTGGAGATAATAAAATACGCCCTCGTTATACTAATGTGGGCACTTTCGATGATTATGCCAATCCAGCTACTTTGTATTCAATTGTATAGCATCCGATATACGGTAAAAATGCTTATTAATATATAACAATGTTAAAGAAGCTCGGTCGAGTTATTTCCCTTAGGTTATTTGAATTTGAAATATAATTTACTATATCTTTATCTGAGTTAAACTGTACAAAGAATAAGTTATAGATGCGTGTTTTCCTTTATTTTTTTTTTTCATTCTCAGAGGGGAAACAACGTAGCCTAATTTACTTAGGAATTTAATAAGAGACATATATTTTGGCTATATTGCGCCGGGGTAGTTGCTTTCAAATTTAACAAATCGATAAATATATTTGAAATTTAAAGTTGATCTATAACTATGACTATTAATTATTGAGCTAATAAAAAACATTAATGACGATGGTTTACCATAATCAATATACCTGTACAGGTAGCCTAAAAGTAAACAAAAATCGATATTAGTCAACCAGAAAATTAGGGAAGATATAAAATGAAAGTAAGGACTAAAGACGGAAAGTCAAGCTGTCGCAAAGAATCAATTTCACGTCCACGTTTTCGCTTAATTTTAGATCTTAATGACGTTGACACTACATGAGGGGGATTTCTTTTATTAACCACAGTTCCACGTCAATCCAATGAATTGCATCAGTTGTGTCTTCAATATATAAAGGAATTTCTACTGTTAAGATTCAGAAAACACTTTAAAAGAGGAACGGCGAGAGACGAACTTTTTAAAGATCCAAAAAGTGCGATAGAAATTGATTATTTTAAAATTATTTAGCCACCCATAGGCTTCAACGATGTCAAAATTACGCGTTTTTGGTTTTACAATTTGCATTTTGTTAATATTATTGCACAGGTAAGTTTTCTTTTTTCTATAACAAAATTAATTTGAAAAAATCCATTAAACGGGCTAATACAATTTGATATTTTTCTTAATAAAAGTTAAAAACTGTAGAAATTTATCAATATATTATAAGGAAATCCATCATTTGTATTTATCTGTTTAGGAACGTTCAACTCATTAAGTCAACTGACGTGGATTCGATTCCCCGTACGTGACAAGGAGTAGGGTCGCCTGTCCAACCTCGTGGTTTTTCTCCGGGTCCTCCGGTTTCCCCCCACTGCTAAATACCCTTACGCGCAATTATTGAAATCAAATTAAACCATATGTTAGTCCCGAAATGACCTAGTTTGTGTCGAATGGACGTTATCCCCCCTCTCTCTCTCTCTCTCTCTCTCTCTCTCTCGTGTGCTGTAGTAGGCTACTATGGTCTTTGCGACCATATTATGTCTTCAATTATTAGATTCATACTGCGTATAGAGTCATATCTCACGAACTCAAATGAAATTGACTGATGTGTTTTTATATAAAAACCGCGATAATTTGGTAAAAACACAGGTTTTGTCTTTTCCATTGTCAAAATAGGCTATCCATCATAAGGTAATAAGGTAATGTTCTTCTCCCGGTCTTTAGGGTATGGGGATGTTTATTTGGGAAGGAAATTAACACCAAGGTCAGTCTATGACGTAAAGAAATTAGGGATTATAAAAGAGGGTGTTGAGCGAAATTCATCATCAGAGCTCACCCGGTTTGTCAGAGCAGCCATCAAAAACTATGTACACTTTATTGAGAACGAGGAAAATTGATGCCAAGCGGTTTTACTAATAAAGTTGTATAAACGACCTAACCTGCAGTTATATCTACGACCACGAAGAAAACACAACAAAGCAGTCCGGTATTACTACAGATCAAGTCATTTTATTTTTTAACAATGAATGAATGAATGAGCGAATGGACGAACGAACGAACAAATGAATGAGATGCGGTTAACCCGCCAGCCGGGTTAAAGGCTCAATACCACTCTTGTTGTAACTGAATAATATGTCCCAATCTTTATTCTGGTCAACAAATTGTACTATTTTACAATATTCCAATTAATTGATGATACAAATTTCATCTTAACACACCTAATATAAAAAATTGGAAAAATTCAACTAAATGATTTGAAAAGCCTGACGTAAAGCTTTTCAAATGTGACTTGGATTTAAAAATATTTTTGAACCCTCTGGACAAGTAAAATAGGATTTAATGGATAATTTACACAACAGGTAGGACACTAACACATCTGGTACTTTTTTATTTTCGGGAGTTGTCAAGCCAGCAAGAGTGTTATTGTCCCTTTAATGCATTCTTACAAACATGCCGATATATGCTGATATTTGAAAATTAAAATGTCATAAATTTGCGGACTCCGGTGTTGTAAGGGGCGCATGTGTCCTCATGACAATCGTCTATATTTCGTTTCGTTTTTTTTATACTTCGATGGCCTACACTACATGAAGATCTGGCCGGTTGCAGTGGGAGGTCGCGTCAGAGGTCATACGAACGGCCTTTGACCTATGACGTCAGGCATTGATTAATCAACCAGCGTTTACGTTTCTAGTGGTTTACCCCTCACATTAACCAGAATGCGGCTTAACAACTCATCCAGATCCTATAAAACGAAATGAAATAGGATCTGTGTATTAATTAGACTGTCCTTATGAGAAAATTATGATAAATCGTGCTGTAAATTCACCCTAACCAACAATGACCTATTTACACGTTTCATAAAATCAAATAAAAAGTGATTTTTTTTTTATCCTTATTTTTAACGGGAGGGGGCGGAACCCTAGGCTCCCACCTTGTACCTTGATCCGCCATTTTTTGAGGTCTCACAGTAAATCTTTCACGCCGAATTAACGCACACTAGGTCATTTTTTGAAAAACACAGTAAATCTTTCAAGCCAATTTAAATCACACGAGGTCATATCTGGACTAACACAGTAAATCTTTCACGCCGAATTAACGCACACAAGGTCATTTCGCGACAAACACAGCAAATCTTTCACGTCAAATTAACACAGACTAGGTGATTTCGCGACAAAGACAGTAAATTTTCCACGACAAATTTACACAAACCAGGTCATTTGTGGACTATTACACAATATATCATTACCGCCCACCTAACACAGAGAGAGAGGGAGAGAGAGAGAAATGGTGTTTAACGTCCACTCGACACAAACTAGGTCATTTTGGGACTAACATATGGTTTAATTTTATTTCAATAATTCGCTTGCGCGTAGGGGTCTTTAGCAGTGGGAGGAAACCGGAGGACCCGGAGAAAACCCACGAGGTTGGACAGGCGACCCTACTTGTCACGTACAACCGGGGATTCGAAACCACGCCAGTCGACTCAATGACAGACTTTATGATACAGCGTGCGCACGCTAACCATTCAGCCATCCACCCACCCCCCCACCTAACACAGAACTAGGTCATTTGGGGATTAACACACAGTAAATCCCTTTTCAATAATTTGCTTAGAGCAATTTTGCAAAGGAATCCAGAAAACCGGAAGAAAATGCATGAGGCTGCAGGGGACCTTATTCCCTTTAATGTACAAGGTGTATAGAGAATCATACAAGTCGTCGCGTTTCTGGCGAGGGGATCACGGTGGCTAAGTGGGTAAGGCGCTGGCTCGCTAGCCTGGAGGTCGGGTGTTCGATCTCTGCATTGGCCGAGAAAGTTCATCCCGATTTTCCGGCGTGGTTCCCCCTTGTCAGTGATGCAGGACGGAGGGCCTGACAAGGACAGCTGTCTAGTCATTCGGATGAGACGAAAAACCGAGGTCCCGTGTACACATTGACGTGCACGTAAAAGATCCCTTGACAGTTGGAATTCGATATAAGAGTAGGCCGTACTGCCGCTGTCCAGGCAAAATTTCCCTCATAGCACACTGTATGGCCAGTTCGGAGCAAAACAGTAGGACGTTAAACCCCATTTCATTTCATTTCCGTTTCTGGCGAACCGCCGAATCTGATATATTTAAATATTGAGAATTATGCATTTGAAATTTGCGTGCTGTTGTTATCTCTGTAGCCATCAAATAATAACATTTATGTAAATGGCGTTCGGTGTCCTGATGTATATGTATGAAATATTAAATCACAAATGAATGTTATTATTTGATGCCCACAGATATAACAACAGAACGCAAATTTCAAACACATAATTCTCAATACTTAAATATATCAGATTCGTCGGTTCGCCAGAAACGACGAAGTATATTTAAATTGGACTTTTTGCTGTTGCAAAGCTGCACCTAATCATTCAATGTACGTTTGATTTCAGGTCGTCGGCAAAATTGTGTGACATCAAAAAATGGTACAAAGCAATAAAAGATGAGGGCATTCTTCCAAAAACCTTGACTAGAGAACAAGCGAAGCTGAAAGAATACGTAGATAAGAAGATCGCAAACCTGCAGCACTCGGGGTCCAGTAAGGTTGACTGCGATCTCCTAGACGATTATAAAATGACATTTTCTAAAAGAAAACTTGGACAGGACTCCATATACGATGATGAAGAGGAGACGATTAAACAAGGGCGAGGTGGCCAGAA